AATGTTGAGATTTCAATAACACTGCATTGTCCATTCAGTCCTTTTCATCACCTTGCGGATCCTTGGCTGAACATACATTGCCCAACTGGGCATGTATCATAGAGACTGAGTATAGAGGACATGGGGGTTGAGGTAGGCTTAGGGTAGGCGGCTGAATGGCACTAAAGCATTTTGGTCCTAGGCTGAAAGCATCTGTGGATTCAAGATTCAAGGCAGTAGTCGCACATGATTTTCTAAATTCCCATCTCAGTTAGTTCTTAGCCAAAGTTGGGCAATGGTTCCGGCTCCTTACATGTTTTGTAAAAAGCCATATGAGACGCTGAACCCGGTTTTCCAGCACCAAAAAAAAAGAGGCGAGTGGGAGAAGTAGATGGTGGGATATCAAGCGTCCTACTAGTGAGGGGGCTAGCTCGTAGGAAGGAAATAGGGTACAACAGCAGCGGAGATGGTGGCTCTGTTGCAATAAGTCTTGCCGGAGTGAGGTAAAGGGGATTGATGGGGAGTTTCTGAGTTGTCTACTGAATTTTGCCTAAAAAAAAGGGACAATCTTCCGGGTGGTTTTGAGAATGCTTTAGGATTCTGGGGACTTCTAGCAACTCTCTTTAGGCTGTTTGATACTGGTACATTCATGGATCTGGGAGGGACGTTGGACCCGATTTCCAGGAGGTGATGCTCCCCACCAATTAAACGGAGCTAATTTATTTATAAAAAAAAAAAAAAAAAAAAAAAAAAAAAAAGAACAACGCTGACTGGTGTTGGGGTATTGCCCTGTAACCTGCTGATTGCAGGAGCATGAGATATATACCTCAACACAACGACAAATACGGAATAGAGAGCAGTAACGATAGTCAATGGAAAGATAAGGTATAATGTTCACTAGCTTAGCGCCCGCGGTGCGGGCGGTGCGGGCAATGCCCGCATGTAAAAGAGCAGAGAGGCTAGTCAATCATGAACGTTGTGTCAAGATCTTGACTCACCACCCACCAAACCCGCACCGGGCTGCTAAGAAGTGCGCATGAATGTTTTGATTTTTATATATACTAAGGAATATACGTTGTTTTTTTTTTTAATTCAAGTAGCGGGGGGGATGGGCGGAGCCCCCCC